TGTTTTTTATCAAGAAAATCTCATGCATAGAAATTATAAAGGAACTGATGATATTGAGCCAGCTAATAGTCCCACTCAGGTTAGATGGTAGTCAACACGTTACTAACAAAAAGCAGAGAATTTTCCAGAGCATTAATGGCATTTATAATGTCACTAGATTAAAGTCTTCAAGATCTTTAGTTGCTGATGTTACTATGTAGGAAAAGAAAATCCAAAGCTGCAAAGACAAATTATAGCGGAAACATGGAACATAAGAAGTATGAATATGGGAAAGCTCAACACAGTGAAGTATGAAATGATACTCTTTCTATCCTGCTTTTTCAAAGTCCAGTTTTCACTTCTATAGATTATCACAAGGAATAGCATTGCTTGCACAATTCTGATCTTTGTAGGTGTAGACAAATCATTGCATCTGAATATCTTTTCCAAGGCCTTCATACTCTACCATATGCTAGTCTGTGATGTATTTCTTGATTGCTTGTTCCTTTATTGTTTATGGTTGATCCTAAAAGATAGCAGCTATTCAATACTTTGATATCTTCATTGTCAATTTTAAGGCTGCTTCTTGTACCAGTTGTCATTAGTTTAGTTTTCTTTGTATTCAGTTTCAGCCCAAACTCCTTGGTTTTTATTATAGACTTTCCAGATCCCTTGCCTTTTCAGGTATTAGAGTAGTGTCATCAGCATAGCACGTGTTACTGTTGTTTCTTCCTCCAATTTAAAAATCACATACATTTTCTTCTAATCCAGCTTCTCCTGACATATATTCAGCAGGTTGAATAATGAAGGGAGACCATAAATTCTTGTTTCACTTCTATGCCAACCTAGAGTCTGTTTCACCATATTCTGTCCATTCTTAAGCTATATATAAGTTTTGCATGAGGACAATAAAATGTTCTGAGATTCCCATTTTTCTAAACACATTCTATAGCTTAATATTATCAACACAATCAAAGGCCTTTCTATAATCAATGAAGCACATAAGTTCCTACCTTACTATTTTCAGTTGATGCAGTCTTTCTTCAATATTAAACTGTAGGACTGAAAATAATAGGTTTTAACTTCTATCATGCTAAAGAAAACTATGCAAATCAGCCGAAGACTATATTCATGATCTTTTCTAAAAGTTTAATTAATTATGGCTGGCAGTATTTTGTAGACACAAAATAGAGCAAATTAAAACATCTAGATATCTGGGTGTTGTTTTCCAGGCTTCATGTACCCAGAGGATTGATTATGCATAATATAGAATCTGACCACAGATTCTTTTTTCAAAATGGAGGTTTGTATATTCCCTCTACAATTAAGGTTTTCCATTGGTAGGTCTGTTGATGAGATCTTACAGTATATAGCACTCAGGCCTGTATATAGAAAAACTTCTCCTTTTTGGAGTCCATGCAATCTTAGTTCTTGATGTCTATATTTAGGGTCTCCCCAATACACCCTTTGATGGAAAGCAGATCTCAATTCAAAAGAAGCATGAATATGGATTACCTATTGGATTTAATTGACAATGATGCTCACTGATGTTATTAGATAACTTTTACTCATTTTGGAAGAAGATTCCTTTAAAACCATACAATTCATATAATGAGTGTTTTAGTTCACAAGGGCATGTAAGTTATTAAGGACTGTAATGCCAAATAAGCATTTGATGACTTTCATTCTACAGATATATCAGTATATATTGTATGCAGTTTGTTTCTGCATTACTTATTTTCATGCAACTTGACATTTATTAGTGCATTAATTACTTTAAAATGTTCAGCCCTTCACAATATTATAAATTCTATTTCCAAAAATGAAAAACCAACAAGATCAGAAAAAGTTAGGAAAAAATTATAGATGTTTCTGAATAATTTGTATACTAGAACACAGAATAGTAGAGTTGGAAGGGACCTTAGAGGTCTTCTAGTCCAAACCCCTACTCAAGCAGGAGACCCTATGCTGTTTCAAATAAAAGGTTGTCCAGTTTTTTTTAAAGCCTTCAATGATGGAACACTCACAACTTCTGAAGGCAAGCTGTTCCAGTGGTTGATTGCTCTCACCATTAGGAAATTTCTCCTTAGTTCTAGGTTGCTTCTCTCCTTGGTTAGTTTCCATCCATTGTTTCTTGTCTTGCCTTTTGGTCCTTTGGGAAATAATTTGATCCCCTTGTCTTTGTAGGAGCCCCTCAAATATTGCAACACTTCTATCATGTCTCCCCTAGTCCTTCTTTTTATTAGACTAGACATAGCCAATTCCTGGAACTATTTTTCATATGTTTTAGTCTCTGGCCCCCTAATCATTCTTGTTGCTCTTCTCGTTCCAGAGTCTCAACATTTTTTTTTATATTGTGATGACTAGAACTGTATGTAGTCTTTCAAATGTGGTCTTATCAAGGCCTTATAAAATGGTACTAACACTTCACTTGATCTTGAATCTATCCCTCTATTAATGCAGCCTAGGATTGCATTGGCTTTTGTGGCTGCCTCTGCACACTGTTTGCTCTTATTTAAGTGATTGTCCACTAAGACTTCAAAATCCTTCTCAAAGTTACTGGCATTAAGCCAGTTTCACCTAGCCTATACGTATACAGTTGGTTTTTCTTGCCTAAGTGTAAAATCTTACTTTTATCTATGTTGAATTCCATTTTATTAATATGATTTTACTCATATTTATTTGCAAGTGATCTCAAGTCAAAACTACTGTATAATTTGGAAAGAAGCACAACATTGAAAATCTATCCTATGTTCATAAAATAATGAAATAATTAGCAAGAATAAAACAACTATTAAAATTATTTTTTAGAAACTTGCTTTTACAAATTAATACAATGTAGAAGCAAAGCAGCTTGCTGTAGCAGTTAAAGACACCTACTGGAAACCAGGACACAATGAGATTGAGTCCTGTCTTCAGCTTGAAGCTTGCAGAGTGACTTGGTCCACCTACAGCCTTAGGAAGATGGCTGTGGCAAACCACTTCCAAAAATCTTGTCAAGAAAACTGTATGGCCTTGACCAGGCAATTGCCAGTTGTCGACACAACACTATATGATTGTATGCAGTATTTCTCATCTCTATTTTGATTGTAAAGAATTAATTGATGAGAGGAGAGATAACAGATTTTTCAAATTAAGAATTAAATGAACAATTTAGAATGTTCCACCTGTTTTCCAGAAAAATTATAAACTGAAGAATAAAGTGGCAGGACGGAGACATAATATTCCCTATTAACATTCCTTAATAGCCCTTATCCTTTTGCTGTGGCACAAGACAAATTTGTTCACTATTAAATAAAGAATAAATTCAGAGTGTATATTCTATAGCCATTTCCATTCTAAAAAAATCTCTTAGAAATAAGAATTATGGATTTTTGTTCAATGAATTTATTCATTTAGCAAAAAACCTATAAACCAGAGATAAAACTATGTATTTACTAGCATGACTGGCAAATTAAATCTAATGAATATTATATTAAAACCAATTTAATTTGATACCACAGGGATCTGATGTTAGCTTGATGTCCAGGTTTTCAAAAATAGCAGCTCATCTCTTTAGATGAATTTGAGGGCATCTCTGTCCCATTCCTAAATTTATCATTATTTGCAAAAACAGGGAAGTTAGGACTAAAAACCATAAGATCATTCTGATAGACAAACAGAGAGACAGACAATCAAGACTGATCCTAATGTGATACCACAGAAATGTGATTTTGAACAAATATCAAAAACTCCAAACCAGAAACTCACCTCTTTAGCTGAATCTGAGGGTAATTCTGTCCCATTCCTAAGTTCCCCATTATTTGCAAAAACAGGAATGTTGGGACTGAAAATCATGAGGTCACTCTTGGCACCAGCCTCTGCGCTCACCCCTGCCAGGATGTGGCTGTGGCGATTGGAATAGGACCAGCTGCCCACTTCACTGGCACAGACCAGGGTGGCCATGCCAGGGCCATAAACCATGGATTCCTTTGCCTTGCAGTGGCATCGCAGGGCCACGTAGATGAGAGTGGCCAGCAAGAAGAGGCTGGAAACAGAGCAGATGGCAATGATCAGATAGATGTTGATGGGGTCCACCAGGGGCACAAAGCTCTTCCCTGACCTTCGAAGATTAATATCCGTTTTGATTGTCTGACTACTTGTCACCAGTGACACACTCAGGGTGGCTGTGGCTGAGAGCTGAGGTTTTCCATGGTCCTTCACCTGAACCAGAACCCTCTGGATTTTGCCTCCTTCTGATTCATCCAGAGGATATTTGGTACTCACCTCACCGCTATACTGCCCCACCGACCATGGACCGCTGCTTTCTTCAAGCAGTTCGTACTTGAGCCACGCATTGTAGCCAGAATCCGCATCCAAGGCATGGATCTTGCCTACAATATGCCCAGGCATCACAGGGACCACTAGAAGAATCAGGTTCTCCTCTAATGATCCTGTCATGGCAGGTGCGTTGTCGTTCTCATCCAGCACAAAGACCTGAACAGTCGCATTGCCACACAAGGAGGGCATTCCAGCATCCTTGGCTCTCACCTGGAACTCCAACAGTTTCAACTCCTCATAGTCCAAGGACTGCAGAGCATAGAGCTTTCCACTCTCCGAATGTACAGAGATGTAGCTTGACAATGGCCACAGCTTCTCATCTATCCAATAGGTGATCAGGGCATTCTCAGCTACGTCTGGGTCCGAGGCAGATACTGTGAAGATGTGAGCACCAGGGGGATTGTTCTCCTTCACAAAGACTGTGTAGAAGGGCTGTGTGAAGGCTGGAACATTATCATTTATGTCACTGATTGGTAATATCAAGATACTGCTGGCTGATAATGATGGGATTCCTTGATCTTCTGTTTTCACCATCAACTGATACTCAGCAACTTGTTCCCGATCAAGGGACTCAGCCACTACTAAAGAATAATAGTTCTTGAAATTGGATACAAGTTGGAAGGGTACTCTAGGAGGCCAGAGTGAGCAATGTATTTGTCCATTGTCTCCTGAGTCCCTGTCTGCAACACTGATTAGGGCTACTACTGTCCCCAATGGTGAGTCCTCTAGCACTGGCACTAAGAGTGATGAGACGAACAACTCCGGTTCATTGTCATTTATATCCAGCACTTCAATTATCAGTTGACAATGCCCTGACAAAGGGGGGAACCCTTTATCTTCTGCCTCAATCTGAAGATCATATATAGCAAGGTCTTCAAAATCAACCCCTCCTTCTACAATTACTTCCCCTGTATTAGAATTTATGCTAAAAATTTTCTGAAAATTTAGTGGTACATGATTAGTAAAAGAATAATAAATTTCCTTATTCATTCCCTCATCTAAATCTGTGGCATTCACTTTAATAACTAGTGTTCCAAATGCTGTATTTTCTAGCAACTTTACCCTATAAACAGATTGGTTAAATACAGGAGGGTTGTCATTAACATCCAGCACATTGATGACCAGCTGAACAGTTCCTGTGAGTTTTGGTTCACCCCCATCAGTTGCTGTCAGTACTAAATGATACACAGGGCTCTCCTCCCTGTCCAGTGGCTTCTTTAAAACAATTGCTAAAGGTTTGTTGAATTTCTCATCTGTTTTCTGTTCTACAATGAAATATTCATTGAGGCTGAGCTTGTAGGTTAGCAGAGCATTAGTACCAATATCTGCATCAGAGGCGCCTTCTAAGGGGAACTGGGCACCAGATGCTGTTATCAATTCTGCTATGCTCAGGATCTGTTCCCTTGCTGAGAAGACGGGAGCATTGTCATTAATGTCTTTGATTTCAACCTCCACATAAAACAATCTCAGAGGTTTCTCCACAATCACCTCCAGATGAAGGACACAGTCTGCAGTCTTGGCACACAGCTCCTCCCTGTCTATCCGGGAATTTACAAACAAGATCCCATTCTGCAGGTTTACCTCAAAATAGTCCTTCTCTCCTTTGGACAGCATCCGGAACATCCGAGGCACCAGCTCGGTCACCTCCAACCCCAGATCCTGGCCAATGCGGCCCACAAAGGTGCCATGCTGGGATTCCTCCAGCACAGAATAATGGAGCTGGCCGCTCCCCATTTTCCAGGCGGTCTCGAGCAGAACCAGTTGTAGCAGCCAATTTGCCACAGATTCATTCTTCCAGACAATCATTGTAAATACAGGCAAAAAGATCAATAGTAATTTTTTTTCTTATACATGCATCTCTTGAAGAGACCCAAGAGCAGATTCAGAATAGACATCCAAATCAGCATTTACAATATAATTCACATTAATTCCAGTATTCTTGCAGTCTGGGCTGGATATCATTATATATATGACAAAAAGAATTTTTTGCAGTCACATCAAAGGAGGAGCTCTAATTTCTTTCTCCTCATCCATTTTCTGATGCAACAGTGACCTCTAGTGAAGGCATTTTGAAACTGAAAAGCAGATGATAAAAACATTTGTGGTTTTGTCCTTCTGTTCGTTTTTAAATACATTTAGTTTTTCCACTCATTTATTTTTCTAGCAACATAATTCATATCTGTATAACATATCATTTTTAGGCCATTAAAAACTAAGAGTTGCAATTGAATGTGTTAATTGATTCTTCTATAAGTGAAACTACATTTGTGTCAGAGATATGGGACCTTGAAGTAATTCACCCATTACTGCTTGACATAGAAGTGATGCATTGGATATTATTTTTAAAATTGTTGCAACTCAAAACATTAAAGCACTTTTTAATACAAATATCTGCATTATTATATAATATTACATTATATTTTATAATGTAATTTGAGTCTTAATTTGAAAACAGTAGCTATGCTTTTCATATTATATTATGTCCTTGCATTTTGATTATACAATAAGCCACCTAGAATTTAGAATTGGGGTAGTATATATATCTTGTAAATAAATAAATAAGACTTTTTAAAATTACTGATAAAATTTATACAGTTCAGTCCAATAGGGATCTGATATTGTTATATAGCATTATATATAATTGTAATATAATATGATTGTCATAATATATTACATTCCTATATATATATATATATATATATATATATATATATATATATATATCCTGTAAGCCACCTTGAATTGCAGTGATCGTGTAGGCGTCAACATACATTTTCCAAATAAATAAATAAATACAATAATTATTCAAAGTGCTGGCATATCTCCCACCTGTTCAGTGGCCTGTGTGGGTCCAGCAAACTAATTCTGAGAGAATCCAAAGCACAGTAAATGTTGCATAGCAAATATTCTAACATATTCCAACCTGATGTAAGGAGGAATAACAGCAGAGGGTAATGGTAATTGTCCCTAGTTACTCCTCTGCTTGAAATTGCAAACACTATAATTATGTTCTCTCTTCAGGGAACAAGAATCCTGGAAAAGCAGCAAGCTTTTATCTCATCCCACCTATTTCCCTCAAGGCCACAAGCTTCAATCCCAGGAGAAAAAAGGGTGAAAACAAGGGATAAACATCCTTGAAACGTATGAAGAGAAGAGAAGAGAAGAGAAGAGAAGAGAAGAGAAGAGAAGAGAAGAGAAGAGAAGAGAGTTGGAAGGAACCTTGGAGGTCTTCTAGTCCAGCCCCCTGCTCGAGCAGGAGGACCTATATCATCTCAGACAAGTGACTGTCTAGCTTCTTTTTTAAAATCTCCAACAATGGAGTGCCCGTGATTTCTAGAGGCAGCTGTTCCATTGGTTAACTGTCTTCACTGTCAGGAAGTTTCTCCTTAATTCCAGGTTGCTTCTCTCTTTGATCAGTTTCCAACCATTGTTTCTTGTCCTGCCCTCTGGTGCTTTGGTGAATAACGTGACCCCCTCTTCTTGGTGGCAGCCCCTCAAATACTGGACTACTGCTATCATGTCTCCCCTATTTCTTCTTTTCTTTAGACTAGCCAAACCCAAGTCCTGCAGCTGTTCTTGGTATATTTTAGTCTCCAAGC